TGGATTACAGGTGGATTACAGGTGGATTTACAGGTGGATTTGGGTGATGTACGGATGTATTCGCGTGTAGGTACTGTATGTATGTCGGTTGTTTTTGTTTTTGTTTGTATCTGTGGTTCGCAACGTGTAGTTTCTTCATGACGGGGAGGGAATTATTCTTTCATCTATGTACTTATTTGAATGTGTCTACATGAATATATGGCTATGTTTATATATATTTATATATAAGTGTGTGTGTGTGTGTGTTTGTGTGTGCATATTTGTTTATATGTATGTATGTATGTATATATATAATATATTATATATATATATATATATATATATATTATTATATATGTGTGTGTGGTGTGTGTGGTGTGTGTGTGTGGTGTGTGTGTGTGTGTGTGGTGTGTGTGTGTGTGTGTGTGTTGTACATATGCATATATATACATATATATATTATATATATATATATATATATATATATATATATATATATATGTGTGTGTGTGATGTGTGTGTGTGTGTGTGTGTGTGTGTGTGTGTGTGTGTGTGTGTACATATGCATATATATACATATATATATATATATATATATAATATTATATATTATATATATATATATATATATATGTGTGTGTGTGTGATATAGATATAGATAGAAAAGCATATATATATACATAAATGCAGCTATTCAACCCCAGCATCACTACCCCCCCCCTCCCCCCCGCCCCCAGAGATCAACCTCCTGTGGGCCGCCCACCAAGTCCACCACTCCTCCGAGGACTACACCCTCCCGACCGGCCTCCGCCTCTCCATGTTCCAGCGCCTCACCTACTTCGGCTTCTACCAGCCCCTCGCCCTTCTCGGCCTCCCGGTCACCTCCGTCATGGTCCACCTCGGCCTCAACTACCTCTTCCAGTTCTGGGTCCACAACGAGGCCGTGAGGAAGATGGGGCCCCTGGAGTGGGTCTTCAACACGCCGTCGCACCACCGCGTGCATCACGGTGGGTCCCTCGCGGTGTGCCGTGGGAAGTGTCAGATAGACATAAGTAAATATAAGGGTATAGACATAGGTAAATATGAGGTGATAGAGATAGGTAAATTTAAGGAGTAAACATAGACATAGGTAAATATAAGGAGATAGACATAGGTAAGTATAAGGAGTAAACATAGACAGGTAAATATAAGGTGATAGACATAGGTAAATATAAGGAGTAATAGACACAGAAATATAAGGAGTAAACATAGACATAGAAATATAAGGAGTAAACATAGACATAGAAATATAAGGAGTAAACATAGACATAGAAATATAAGGAGTAAACATAGACAGGTAATAAGGAGATAGACATGGGTAAAAATATTTTACCTAAATAGAACTTAAAAAAGAGGATTGCCGACGGAGAATCCCCCAAAATACCGAATTGCCAATTGTTTTTTTTTCCTTTTCTTTCCTGAGCCTAAATGCCCACTTGCCACTCTTTCCAGGAGCGAACAAGTGGTGTCTGGACAAGAACTACGGCAGCCTCCTCATCGTCTGGGACAGACTCTTCGGCACTTTCCAGGAGGAGAGAGACGACGAGGAGATCGTCTACGGGCTCGTGGAACAACCGCAGTTCCTGAACGGCGTCTGGCACGAGGTAAGGGCAGTCTCGTCGGTGATGCGAACGGTGAGGGGAAAGAAGGAGAGAGAGAGAGAGAGAGAGAGAGGAGAGAGAGAGAGAGAGAGGAGAGAGAGAGAGAGAGAGAGAGAGAGAGAGAGAGAGAGAGAGAGAGAGAGAGAGAGAGAGAGAGAGGAGAGAGGAGAGGGAAGAGAGGAGAGAGAAGGAAAAGAGAGAGAGAGAGAGAGAGAGAGAGAGAGAGAGAGAGAGAAGAGAGAGAGAGAGAGAGAGAGAGAGAGAGAGAGAGAGAGAGAGAGAGAGAGAGAGAGAGAGAGAGAGAGAAGAGAGAGAGAGAGAGAGAGAAGAGAGAAGGAGAGAGAGAGAGATCTGACTCTGGGAATCGGGGATAATAGATCTTCGCAACACCTCGGCGCGCTGTGGGGAACTAAGGGAGCCAGACTTGGAGACTTAACCCAGCTTTTGTTGTTTTTGGAGGGAAAGTAAGTGTCATCCTTTAACTATGTACTACCATGGCTGAGGTGTGTGTGTGTGTGTGTGTGTGTGTGTGTGTGTGTGCCTGCCTTAATTGCGTGCGTGTGTGTGTACCTGTGTCTTCCTTTAACTATGTAGTATCATGGTTGATGTGTGTGTGTGTGTGTACTTGCCTTAATTGCGCGCGCGCGTGTGTGTGTGTCCCTGCCTTAATTGCGTATGTGTGTGTGTGTGTGCCTGACTTAATTGCGTGTGTGTGTGTGCCTTAATTGTGGTTGAACGGACCAAACTTACACCGTTCTCAGCCTCACTCTCGTCCCTCCAGCTCTTCTACCTCGAGAAGATCTACGAGAAGGCGCGGGGCATGAGCAGCTGGAGCGACTCCCTGAGGGCGGTGTTCTACGGGCCCGGCTGGGTCCCCGGGG